TTTTAATAAGAATTAATAAAAATGTAATAACAAATGCATCTTGAGATGTTTAACTCATCCTTATCAATAATATTATCTACTTTTTCTAAGATTGTAAGTCATGGAAAAGCATTTTTTGTTATCATATTGTCATAGGCTACAAGCGCGTATCGAAACATTGCTTTCTAGCCTCAGTGTCTTGCTCGCGTAGCGGGTAAAAGCGAGGCAGAACATAGTATGTCTGCGCTCTTTCACGAGCCGAACAGCCGAGCGTGACGTCACGCACACGGACGGCGGTTCTCGCTGTGTGCGTGCTCCCGCCACCTCGGTGCTCTTGGTGCTAGCCTGCAAGATCTTACTTATCGCTGTAGCTAATTTGAAGATGACGCGCTGCGAACGATGATTATTAATATAAGCCATTCTACAATGAGTCATAGCAACAGATGACAACTAGAGGAACAGTGTTATTTTCAGTTGCACTTGGGCGTTGCGCAACTAGCGACGGAACATTTACAACTCATTATAGAATAAGTAAAATATAACGCATCAGTGGAAGGGATGTCTTAGCAACACTTTTGTTACGTCCTGGGAACTCCATGGTCCCTTTTTTCTTGCAACGGGACGCGCCAACGCATAGCAAACTCTTTTTTTTGTAAATAGTAAAAAGCAATAAATAACTCAAACGTGTCTCCTATCGTTTGGAAACTTAGACTCCAGACGATAGGAGAGCAAACGGAAATCATATTGGGGCCCGAAAGGATAAACCGCGCCTGGTAATAACCCGAAATTTTATGATAACGAGCAAAAAAATTTATTATTTAAACACTCTGAGCAGCTTTCCAAACAAACCCAGATATCTCCGGGTCATGAAAAACACCGCTTATAAAAATTAAAACGGCCGGCACAAATAAAAACTTCAGCGCCACGAGCAATTTTATAGCAAAGGGTCTATGTGGCGTGATAAAAAAAAAAAAACCAATACTCTCCTTTTTCCCTTCTCCGGAAAATCGAACAAGCCGACCGAGCCGAGAGATCGTCGCCGATCGGCGATGTCACGAAGTTTCTCCAACCACTAACTAACAAATGGGAACTGGCAAAGCTCGACTGAGTTTTCCGATTGGGATAGTCCTCGCTTACTCAAAATTGTATATAAGCCGGAACTCTCGAAATCGGAAGCAGATAGAGCCGCAGATTTTAGAAGTACCACAGCGAGTGAGTGAGTGACAGTGAATGCAGGGCTGCGTTCAGAAACTACACCTAGCGGGTGATTGCCGGGAGTCCGAGTGAATGATGTAGTGGGAATAAGGTGCCCTCTCGGGTGTATATGTTTCTGAACGACAATAGGTATTTCTCTGATCATCTCTGATCATGTGACGCGATTATAATGTGTGTGTAAAAAGAGTGCGTCTAATAACCGATCCTTAAAATAGTGAAAAATGACAGTACAAGTTAATCATCGTAAATGATAGCACTTGCAATTGCTGCAAGTGATAAATTACTGACGGATGTCATGTTGAATGTGGACAGTGACAAAAGTGATTATGATAGTGACAATAAAGAAAAAATAGAAATTAAATTAAGAAGAAGAATAAATGTGCGAAATCGACAAGAAAAGCCTCAAAGAATAAACGATTATATAGAGGAAACAATTCCACGTCTATCAAATAATCAGTTTAGAGAACATTTTCGGATGCTACCAGAGACGTACAAATTACTTGAACAAAGACTTTCCAATATTTTGTCAAAGCAAAACAATGATGGCAGGCCAGTGATTCCAATTCGGAAGCAGCTTTTGGCTTCTCTCTGGTTGCTTGCAACCCCAGACTCTTATAGGTATTATAGTATTTTTTAATAGAAAAATTTATAAACGGTTTTTTTTTAATTAGATTTACATTTAATTAGATACATTTGATTTTTTGTGTTTTAGATCTGTTGGAGAACAATTTGATATTGGAAAAAGTTCATTAAATGTCAGCTTTATGAAAGTAGTACAAGCTCTTAATAAAATTGCTAAGGAAGTAATTGAATGGCCTCAAAGTGAGAAAGCAACTCATGTAAAACAAGCTTTCCAACAAATTGCTGGATTGCCAAATGTACTTGGAGC